GTGTATCACGAATGGCACATAACTGTATGAAATTCACTTACATGCTAATACACTTGGGAAACGTATGAATCCTCTTCGTCTCCGCCAGCTATGGGTAAATAGTAGGACAAACCGGGTTTTATTGCCTTGGATGGCAACTGGTATACCATAGAAAGAAATGGCAATCTACTGCGGAAAAAAAAAATCTGCCTCGTCAGTCATGTAGCGAAAGATACATGATCGCCTACGCGTGTATCACGAATGGCACATAACTGTATGAAATTCACTTACATGCTAATACACTTAGGAAACGTATGAATCCTCTTCGTCTCCGCCAGCTATGGGTAAATAGTAGGACAAACCGGGTTTTATTGCCTTGGATGGCAACTGGTCTACCATAGAAAGATACATGATCGCCTACGCGTGTATCACGCATGGCACATAAGTGACTGAAATACACTTACGTACTAATAGCTTTAGGAAAGGTATGAATCCTTTTCTCCTATCAGCTATGGGTAAATAGCAGGACAGGCCGAGTTCTCTAGCCTTGGATAGCACCTGGTCTACTGTAGAAAGAAATATCAGTCTACTGCGGGAAAAAAAATCTGCTTCGTCCGTCATGTATCGAAAGCATAGCACATAACTGACTAACTGACGGTGAACCGCCTTTTTTCTCCAGCATCCTTAGCAACGGATCGTATGTAGAAGATCCACTTGAGGTCTGGAGAGAATTTCAACAGGTGTTCCAGACTAGAGACTTTCTTGAGAGAACACCCGTTTATCGGGAGAAAAAAAAAAATCATCGTCTTCTCATAATAATAATGTTACCAGTTTGACTGTTGATTGAATGAATACTAGCAGTAGAGCCCGGCGTTGCCCAGGGATGTAACAGTAAGAGATAGATCAAGTATCGGACATCATAAAGACTGAAAAATAAAATTGACAAAGATTATTGTTTAAGGTTGACGGACACGCATGTCTTAATTAGTTTCTTTTTTTTTTTTTCACGAATTGGTCAAACCCAAACTCAAGCAAAAGCATTGTTTTCAATAGTTATGAGTCTAATGATTGAATAGAATTTTATTATAAACAATTGTCTTGTAAATGGAATTTTTAAAGCATTCTGAATGTAAAAATAAAGAAAAAAAGTGTGCAAGACAATAAGAAACACTACCTGCCAAAAAAAGTGAAGTTTTGTTGAAATCGCTTGAAAAATGTAGGAAATCCGATCCCATACATAAACGAACACACACACACAAACAACCTGGGTTTTATAAGTATAACTCGATATGAGTTGTCCCCCTTTCATTCTGACGAGAGAATCGTGTTTTATCGTATTTTCAAATTAATTTCTTGCAGAAACAATTATGTTTTTCCAGTTTTGGGCGCTGTCAGAACCACCGCAAATTAATTTTACGCAGTCCTGTGAAGTTTCGTTGAAATCGGTTGAAAAATGTAGGAAATCCGATCCAATATATAAAGGTACACACACACACACACACAATGCTATTGGAAATGAGTTATTGTTTTTGGAGCGCGCAGTAGCAAAAACAATAACTCATTTCCAATAGCATTTTCGGATACAACAATACATATATTTTCGTTGTCCTCTTATTACTAAGAGAAAAAACAAGAACAACATCTATTCTATACCTGAAGATGTCTGTAGGAACAGACGAAAGCTTGTAGTAAAAATAAGAACTAATACGGCAGAAATTTATAGAAACAAGGATCATTTCATTCATAACGGATTCGGAGGTTTTTGTATATTATTTGAATTGTTTGCGACGATGGATTTCTTGCCAATTAAATCATTAACCTTTGCATTTGTTTTTGTGTGAATAATTCATGAATATTTTTTTTTACTCTACTCTAAATTAACTATACTTATATATTTTAGGTGTAATTTAAAAGTTATTATGTTTTAACTAGTATTTAACATGTAAATATCTTGATTAATTTATTTGAAGCAATTTTAGTTAAATGGTTTTTCTCTTAGTTTTTAAACGGAATTTATTAATCAATCAATATCCCAAATTATTCATGCTGTATTTTAGGATTTTTTTTTTTTTGTAAATAGTCTAAATTTTAAACATTTCGTTAAGTGTAGTTAAGAATAAAAAGGAAAGTTATAAAAAGAGAAAGATCAAACAAATAAGATATAAGACAGAATTTAAAAGGGGAGGAAGAGAAAGAAAAGACAAACCAATGTAATAAATCGTTTTTATTTTATTAATGTATATATATATATATATATATATATATATATACTTACATGAGAAACAATATATTACTAGGTTTATATAAAAAAGTAAAAGTTTACTAAATCAGTGAAATTAAGTAGCTAATTTTGCCGTCATTGGCATAAATATTACTTAAAAAATATTTAAATATAAAAAAAATGTAAACTAATAATTTACATACTTCTACTTGATGTGATAATAATTCTACATACTGTAAGGGATTCTAATTACATTTAATTGTTCTTAAAAGAAATATAGTATATTAAAAATTAAAAGTAAAAATATTTCCAATCGTAGTTAAATAAAAAAGTATTCAAACCTAAACACCCCACAAAAATCTTTAAATATACGAATGGAAAAAAATGCCGTAAGAATTTTTGCTGTTAACAATAAAATTTTTAAAAAATCCAGACGACACGCTTTTAACGGGTGTCAGATTTCATTGAAAAATACATCCCTACCCACTACCAAAACGTAGCAATAACTGATACATTAAAATATAGACATAATGAACACCCAGGCACCCCTTGTCTAGTGCAGTGGATTCATCTGTAACCTTGGAAACATGAATTATGTATTTAGCTGTGTATTTAAAACCCAGTAATTTTAAAAGTTACTCCAAAATTCGCTTGAGGATGAAATGGAACTAATGTCTTTAATTTAATTACAAAATTAAATTCGGGGCTATTAGCTTTCATTTTTGAAACTTGGTTAGAACTGTGTAGCGAAAAAAACATATTTTAAATAAATTAATTTAATATTATATATATATATATATATATATATATATATATATATATATATATATATATATATATTAATTGGTTTTTTTCTCCACTTCTTCCACGAACACCCTGTCTTGGCCGCATGGAGGAAGATCAGTACAACCAAGCATACCCGATCTATAACATCGAATAGCCCAAGTAAAGACTTGGTTAGTTGCCGTTTTCTGGGGAACTTAGATAAAGCACGTCCTTAAGCTACTAGCAAATTTAATCTGGGTGCGGGTCGAATACTGATCATATTTTGTCAGGTCGTTCATCGAAGAAGTCTGTTGTTTATTTAGACCCGAAACTTCTAGTGACATGGAAACGACAACACTGACGTCACACCTAGATTCAACATTTAAATATGTAATTTTAACAATCGCTCATATGAATTCCAATCAAAAATTGTCCAGACTGGTGCTATAAAAAAAAGCTACGACACATATCAATCCAGCATTTAATTTCCTTCGAATTAGTCCCCTTCTGAATCCACTCGCATTATCCAGTGTCATTGCCATTGATCGAAGCATTCCTGGTACTCATTTTTAGAGATAGCGATCATATAACTCGTCATCGCATGGGACGAGTTCTGGAGATTATGGCGGGTGTCGGACCCGGGAATTGTCGTGTGCTTGTCTAGAAACTGTTGTACACGCCATCAACCCTGACGGAGTCTCTGTGATGTGGTGAGACAACCACACTCTACACACTTCTTTTTTTCGCATAGGGCTTTAAACAAGCGATTTGAGCGAGAACGTTATAACGTGGTGCCCATGAGCGAGAGATTTCCAGGTCACTCTGTTCCAGGCGTCTTCACTATGCGTACTTTAGCGCTGTTATCAGAGCAACGTTCCCGATACTTTTCTACCTATTTACCCAAGCGTAAACTGGACCTTATGCATGTTGTTTTTTTTTTGGGGTTTTTTATATTTTTGAAGCCACTAGGATGCAGGGGGTTGCAGAAGATTTGGAGCAAGAGCAGATAGGAGTGGTAGAAGAAAGGATGAGGAGAGGGATAGTGGGTAGATCAAGGTAACTGGAGGTGTCGATTGACATTACATTTGAATAGTTGGAGATTATAGCTCTCAGGGAAACAGTAATTGGGAAGGGTGTTCCACAGGCGAGAGGTGCGAGGCATGAAGTTATTGGAGTAGAAGAGACGGCTACATTTAAAAGTTTCTACAGTGTAAGGGTGGGAGCGGCATGCCAGACTCGTAGGGCGCATGAATTCATGGAGTCTGGGAACCAGTGAAAGCAGCTCATTGGAGCAATTACCATGAAAGTATTTGTAGAAAAGACAGAGAGAGGCGATGGCGCGTCTGTTAGAGAGTGACTGTAGACGAGATGCCAGATCAGGGACAATTATATTACATATCCGTCTCTGGAACTTGTCAAGAACTCCGAGGTAAACAGAAGGTGCCCTAGACCATATATGGCAGCAATACTCCATGCAAGGGCTAATGTTTGATCCAAGAATAAAATGGATACATGTTTATGTTTATGTGACTCTAATGTTCATGGAAACTATATCTGTCTTTATGTTACCTCTACTGCAAACCTTATCTTTGCCTACATATCAATACGTTGGGATTTTCTTTTATTATATATGATTTATATTCGGTATTAAATTACCCATCAAGTGATGATGTGTCGTCCATTTGACCAACCTAAAACATAGATACCTTACACCGTTTGCGACGGCACCTCTTACATTTGGTATTGAAACCGAAGAAGAATAGCTGACTTGGCATTTTTACAGCAATAAAAAGTATCGAACATCTTGTCTCGAGAAACGAAACAATGCTGTATCCACCTTCAGGCTTTTGGCAGATGACGCACAGATCTTTTTATTAGCAAGGAATTTCCCTGGCTGATAAACTTATTGTTTCTTGCTAATGCCTTGTCACGTCTCTCAACCTTGCCAAAATCAACGCAACAAGGTCTGTGATGAGAACCACTATTTGCCAAACGTTGGTGTCTATTTGAACAAATCTTACAACTGACGCCTCACCATATTCTTCACGCTCGCTATGATATTGCTTCTGACAACGTTTCTGCCACCGGTTTCTTGTGTCAGTACCTTGCCACGGAACAGTCGGGTATTTCTGAGTCTTTCCCGTCCCTCTTTGTCCCCGTACGGTCATCTCTTCAAAGAAACGTGCCAGCTAAAACATTCGCTCCGTTATTTTTTCCTGTGAGTGTTAAACTCGGCAAGCCGTCTTTCCTCGTTATATGACCTCAGTATTTTCAACTGTCAGCTACAACTAACTCATCAACTATTTTCATCACACTTCTGGAATGTTTCTTTTAGCCACGTGTTTGCAATTCTTTTGCAACAATTCCTGGCCACTTACAAATCGATTGTACCTCATTTTCACTAAGAAGCATATAGAATAGGTGTCGAAATCTTTTCAAAGAATAATCTATAGATTTCGCACTTAAACTCTTAATGTTATTTATATTTATCCATTCATCAAACTGTGTAAGACGTAGATTGGTATACAGTTAAAGCGGGATTCTACATAGTAAAAAAGTTTTTCAATAACAATTTTAAAATATTAATTTTAAGAATACAATATTTATTTGAGACTAGGTTCTTAAAATAGACTTTTGTAACCTCTGGGCATGTCTCCGAACTTAAATATTTTCAAATGATTTTTTCGAGTTTTGAATGTGTATAGCCTCCAGTTTCGAAAGTCATGAGTAATCATCATTAATTATTTCTGCAAATCCTGAAATTGGTTGTTTATTTTATTCTTTTATGTCCCATGTCACATCAGGGCATCGGAGGTCATGGCGCTTTCTGGTCAGGTCTGTCACCAGTTCGTCTCTTGATGATGGTCCGTTATCGCACACTGCATATGCCGTATCTACATCGCTAAAAAATAAAACGGGCAGCCTCCCGAATGTATAGTACCCCACCCTCATTTAATATATTACTTAGAAGTGTTGCGGGCCAATGTACGCGTTGAGCGATAAACACACATGTCTCTTGAAATGCCCACAAAAAACATAGCAGACTCGGCATGTGAGTCCCCGTAAAGAAATGTAAAGAAGCGACAAGAGCCAATATATACACAAAGATAATTATTATGATGCAATAATGAAATTATGCAATACTGGATTTGTATTTGATTCTTGCGTTAACATAAGTATAAAGATCCATAAACAAAACAATGTTAAAAGTACCACAGTAAGAAAAAAATATCTGTAAAACAGTCTAAATTTTTGAAGGGAAGAAAAATGTATTTTTGATAAATTCTTAATTTTAAAATAAAGAAAATAAACTGTGAATATTCCTTATTATCACCACGTCTTCTCCTGAATACTTAAAAGTAAAACCTAATTAAGCCGTACTCGGATCACCGCCGCCATTTGTCATCATACGAGTTTCCGTTTTATATATATTAGGAGTCACAAAGCGTATGTCCATGTATTCCCGCTTTTTAAAATTCAGAATCGGAAACTACGCATCCATTTTTTGCTTGACATCATTGTAGTTCAATACCACAAGTCTCGTCTGTTAGATTTTGTCTTGAAGCCTGTCCAACATCCGGTTGCCGATGTTCTTGCCGTCACGTTTTTTTCCAGCTCTGGCAGTTCATATCAGTCCCACGTAATTTTTTTAGCAATTTGTTCATATCATAAATGCAGAAAATATTTATCTGTGATTCTTTAGTGATTATCCAAAATTTTGAAAATCATTATTAAATTGCAGAACACAGTAGACACGGAACAATATTTATATACAGAGTTTGTGTTTTCTTTTAGATTTATTCAATAAAATCGCCAATTACTTCGGAATCTCCTGCAACTCTACTTGACGGTCGCCTGGTTTAAGCAGGTGAATACCGCCATAATCATTGCTTTCAGTCCATATTTGGTGTTACAACAAGTTATTTTGATATCTCACTGAACTTGACCCATGCATAATAATCAAGGGAGTTGGAGTTTGGGGTGTTAGTTTGGTAGATGTAACAAACGATGTGGCCTCAGAAATTATCTAACGGCCATGACTGGGTTGAATCGTTGTGTGACTTGTTGTCAAACATAGGTCCTTCCTGCAGTCACCCTCTTGACCTAGGACAGCACTACATCCTCAAGGCACTTGATGTAGGCTTCTGTGTTGAGTCTGTGGGAAGATGAATGGAGGCATAACATCGCGGACATTAGTGATCGCTCCAAACACCTTCGTAAACACGATTAGACTTAGCCAACTTTTTCCGAATCCTCTGCACTAATCCTAAATTATCCCTCTGCAACAGTCTGAAATCTCTCTTCTCTCTCTCTCTCTCTCTATATATATATATATATATATATATATATATATATATATATATATATGAATTTAATAAAAAACAGACACTTTAAAGGTACCATTACAATAATTTATTTCACCAAAATCCTTTTTAAAGGATTTCGATCATCAGGTAACACTTCCAACAATGAAGTGAGAGGAAAAATATTATTAGAAATTGATGGGTCAAGTTCTTCATAACTTATATATATATATATATATATATATATATATATATATATATATATATATATATATATATACAGGAGAGTGAACAATAAAAGGACAAGAATTAAGAAAACAGAAGAAAACGAAAAGAAAAAAGAAAACACGGATAAGGATACAAATCACAATGTATTTGCGTGACTAAACTTTTTAACTGAGTAGATAAAAACATATGCACGCAATTTTTTCATTTCACCCGAAGCAAGGAAATAAAGCCCCTAAAATGCAAGGAGTTACTTGGTGTTAGTAAATATAAAGAAATATACTCTTAAGGAGAGACGACAATAAAAGGGCCAGAATAAAATCAAAAACAGAAGATTGAAATTGAATTTAAAATTTTGAACTCCAAAATTGACAGGAAAGCTAGAAGTTGGAAGAGAGTTCTACAAGCGAGGAGTACAGTAGACGTTACTGCTAGCATAGGATTTACGGCTACATTTAGCCAGGTTAACTGTAAAATGATGTGACCTAACCGCCAATCTAGTACTTAAATTCATAATGTACCATAGACGAGAATTTATCCGAAGAATTAGCATGAAAGTATTTATAGAAAAGGCAATGGGAAGCTAAATTACAGCAGGGGGATTTGTCCAATGTACTAATGTTTTCAATATGCGAAATATAATTCATCGAACATTGTATCAGAGTGTAAAACTTAGACCAGTGTTTCCCATAGTTTTTTTCATTCTCTGGACAGCATTTTTGGAATTAAAATTGGCTCGCGCCTCACCAACTGGATGAAAAGGCGCAATCACCCCACTACGGCAAAGAAAGTCCAGAGAGTGAACCAAAGGGAGATAACCATGGTTTCGAGGTCAGAACATTATCATTGATAACTCTCTCCTCCAATATGCGGACCCTAGTTTCTATATTCTTAATACTTGATATTGTTATGGGATCTTACCCATAATAATAATAAAGGACTATTCCATATTTAATAAATACTGCGCAACGAGTCAGTAGTTCAAGTCGAGTCAAGTCGAATCAGAGGTAGTCCGAAACAGAGACGCGTTCAGACAATTACTGCAAGACATTGGAATATTGATACTGGTCGAGACTACATTGTTCTCTCTACTAAACCTGATTGTTCATACTAACACTTCTACTTCTCTGTATATATTGCTGTTGTAATATATCGGTGTTATTCCATACCTGTGTTCGAGTTCTTCTTTATTGGTTCTAACTTGGATTATCACCGTGGCACAAGGAACCGGACCATAACAGATATAATGCAAAAATACCACAGTGATAAAAGCTATCAAATATTATTTATAATTATTTATAATCGGACTCATGCATGAAATTACAATTAATCAATAAAAAAAATATTTAACATTTTGAAATCATATTGATTTTTGGCATATGAATTTTTTGACATTGATTCTAAATCTGAGTTGCTTTCAATCATTTAACCTCATCTGCTGACCTCTTCAGCCGCACCCCTGAGGCACGCCACACCGTTTAGAAACCACTTAATTAGACACAAACACTGTGAATGCATGAGATTTACTACATAAAAGGGTGGACAAAACCCTTGTAAAATCTTTAATATGTCTGATAACCGTCGGGGGTGGGTGACTGAATATCAGTCAGATCAAAGGTGGTGTCGTCATATAGTGAGTATTAACTTCCTATTCTGTTAGTGTAGCTTGGTAATGTCAGTAACATTTTGTATAAATTACCTACCAGTGACCAATGATAATCACCTATGTTCTCGTCTTCAATGAGTTTCTATAGGAAGAAGCCAGTACATTAATCAGATGCCTATAAAAGCTCGATGCCATCATTAACACTGGCACCAATTCATGCCCACGAACAATATATTGTTCTCGATTTTCAGAGCTTCCAATACAGAGTATGACCTAAAAATGGCTGAAACCAAAATCAAAATTTCGTTTTGCAACCAGGATAATGATATTTCCGAAATTTCTTATTTCTCGTGGTAAAAATGGCGAATGCTGATATTCTGCTTATATTTCTTAGATGAAGTATTGTAACTATTTAAACTATTTACATTGTTCGGACTGTTGTAATCAAATTTACTGTCATATTCACGGCGTTTCGACCGTTGTACGCTTATATCTATATTTCTGCCGTCCTAGGTAAGAAGATAAACTAGATCCAACAGCAAGGCCTCTGATCAGGAGGTTTTGAGGAGTGTGGAACCACCTCTTAATTGCTGGGGTTCCCAGGTCCACCCTGACCTGGGGTGGTAGCACCTGTTAGGGTCCCAGCTATGGGCAAATAGCTAACACCCAAACTTGTGTAAAAATAGGTTTTAATACCAAAAAAATATTATTATCAGTAATAAATTTTTAAGGAAAAATTATTATCAGCAATACTTTTAAAATACCAGCAATTTTTTTTTTTTTTTAAGCATTTCACCCCAAGCAAGGCGGGAAGCCACTAGGACGCAAGGGGTTACAGAAAATAGGAAGATCAGATAGGAGTGATAGAAGAAAGGATGAGGGTAGTAGATAGATTAAGGCAACTGGAGATGTCGATTGACATTACACTTGAATAGCTGGAGATTATAACTCACAGGAAACAGGAGAAGGGAAGAGAGTTCCACAGGCTAGAGGTGCGAGACATGAAGCTATTAGAGTAGAAGAGACGGCTACATTTAGGAGTTTCGACAGTGAAGGGGTGAGAGCGGGATGCCAGCCTCGTAGGGCGCTTGAACTCATGAAGTCTGGGAACCAGCGAATGCAGCTCCTCGGAGCAATTTCCATGAAACAAACAGCTATACATTCTTTGGAAAAAATATGACCAGCTATAGATTTCTTCAAGGAAAAATATTCCCAGAAATAGATTTTTGAAGAAAAACATGACCAGCAATAAAAATTTTGTCGGTATTAAATAACCTATAAAGGTTGATATGCCGTAAAGCAAAACAACCCAACCCAAACTAAACCAAACCAATATATATATTTTTGAGGAAAAAAATATTACCAGAAATAGATTTTTGACAAAATAAAATATTACCAGGGAAAGAAAAAGTTGTCGGCATTAAATAACCCATTGACTGTTGTACTCAGGTACCGAACGTCACAACGCTTTGTCGTGGGTAAGAAATACCACCTATGTTATCCTTGCCACATATATGAAACAGTTAGGTAATATTGCTGGGTCCCTGGGACATCAAGGGAAATAAGGTCTGGCAGTCAACGTGCAAAGATCGCTAAATTTTCCAGATCGTCTTTCAGCATTATTTGTCTCAGAGATTTCCTAATAGCAACTGACCCCCGCCTCATATTATTTATGCCCAGTGAAAAAAATGGTAACCTTCTGCTACTGGATTTATACATGAGTTCTGGACCACAGACAATCTATTCTCCTTGATTTTCAAAACGAAACATATTGAGTATATGCTGAAAGAATTCAACAACACTGGAAACATCACTTGTCAAGTATTAAAGTTAACTTTTAAACTCTTATAAACAGGAACAGCCCAATATACGAATTACAAATTGGAGTTACCAAAAAAGTAGGAAAAGAATTCAGTCAACACATAAAAATAGAAATGGGGCTGGAGACAAGGGCATGTTTTTTTTCGAATTTTTCATCGTTTACAAATAGGCCATCTTAAGGGAATTAGAAGTCCTACCAGGATTTATTAACCACGGCCACAATCTTAACAACATTAAATATACTGATAAGACACGATTGATAGCAGACACAGGAAGTAACCCAGATGAATTCCTATAGAAGATAGTAAAAGAAAGCGAGAAAAAGGACTATCAACTGTAAGACGACAGTATGTGTGGTTGTCCTCAAATTTAACGAACCAAAGTGCGAACTAAAAAAAAAATACAAGGCTTCCCCAAAATATCATGCAACTACAAAGTTTTAAATAAACAGGAACTATTTTAATAGAGGATGTAAAATATGACATCGGGAATGGTGCCTTCCAACATATAAGAAAATTATAAAAAAAATAGTTAAATTGCTTCAGAAACAAGGAAAAGATAACTCAACTCTTATTTACTATTGGCCCGCCTCTATGGCAGTGAATGCTGGTTATTCTTTCCACATGATGAAGAGATATAGAGACAGAAATATGCTTCTACAGAACGATTTTCAGAATACGCTGGAATGAACGTGTGAGCAACGACAAAGGTTTTAGGATCATGAAAACAAAAGGCCACTTAAAATCAGATAGAAACAACTGGAATTTCTAGGACACATAACGAGGAAAGAGGGCTTGGAAAATAGGTTACTCACAGGAGAGTTTGAAAGCAAGAGGGGTAGAGAAAAACAACGCATAACATACTTAGTGAACTTTCCTAAAGCCATGACGGAACAGGGTTTGAGAGAAATAACAAAAAGACGAAATTTATAAAGCATTACAAAGGACAGGAAATGGTGGAGAGCCATGGTCGCCTACGTCCTCAGGGGACACGGTACATGAAGTAGAAAACGAAGAACTATCTCATTTCTCTTATTCAGTTAGTAAGACTAGGTAGGAGGAATATACGAAAACTAAACGCAGAAGACACACAACGAGGGCTAGGAAAATCTGACACCCACAGCGCAGATTAAAGGCAAGAGTATAGCGGCGCACAGCCGACCTAATGACATTGTGTAAACAGTTTGCAGTTATTGAGAGAGATAGCAAAAAGGCAAATCTTATTAAGAGCTACAAATGACAGGAGGCTGTGGTGAGTCATATCGCCCACGTTCTGAAGGAACATAGGAGAAGAATCTTATTTAGGTTTATATTCCTTACTCTTTGTAAGGCCTTCTATGATTATTAAACTGTTTAAATTGTTTGAATGCAAGAAAACCATTACAAACACCTCTTGAAAATTAACAATTCTTGGTATCGAATATTTATCAAAGGATCTGTTTATAATAAGACATTTTTAACATCTGGGCTCATCTCTAAACATGATTTCCATGTTATTTATAAGATGTTGTAGCATAGTCATCAGAAACTAAAATGAATTTAGCGTTAATTCTTGTAACTATTTGAACGAATCAACAACTGATTCTTTTCTTTTATGTTCAGGACATGAGTGACTAGGTCTCTATATAATGTCTTACCCTTGCAGCTCTAAACAAGTATTGGTTCTTTTACCCACAATACGGCATCAATTCACACACACTAGGTTAGTAAGTAGGTTAGTAGGTTAATCGTATTTTCTCACTGTTTCTATCCTATGGGTATTAAATTCCCCGAACCTACTTTCCTCATTATAGTGATTTTCTAAGCACAGCTTAGATGTGGCACAAGGCCAAAAGTATGGGATACCTAGTGAGGATCGAACTCACTATTCAGTCATAAATGACCTAGCAAGACAAGCGTCCTAACCATTACTCCACATCGAGGTGCCCTTATTTCCTCATCATATTTCACAGAAATTTCAGCTATCGCCTGACACTTCCGTCCAAGTATATTACTTTTGGCAAAGTTTCTTGTAGTGTTTTCTTGCATGCGGTGTATATGCCGAAAAATTTATAAACAAGTTTGCAAAATTATTTGTCCTTTTAAAATCTTATAATCTAATTTCACAGATCCCTATGCAGTTAAAATGGTTTCGTACATAAAAAAAATTAACTCATTTACATTATTCGGACTATTGTCCTCATCTTTGTCGCCATATTTATTACAACGTTTCGGCCGCTATACGCTCCGGCCTTCTTCAGGTGGTTGGAATGTTGAACTTAACCCTTTATTTCGCTCACTGGGGTAGACTGTTCTAGTTTCGCGTGTCATGTTTGATGGATGTCAGTTATCAGTTATCTCCTGTTAATTTCCCTCTGAAAGTTCTCCACTGCCTTAACCGGGTATTGAACTCACACTCTTTGGGTCCTGTCACCGGATCTAACCAATGCCTTTATCCACTGTGCCATGTGTCCTTGAGAACAGTCTACCCCAGTGAGCGAAATAAACTAAATGGCAATGGCGGGAAAAATCTGCCTCGTCAGTCATGTATCGAAAGATACATGAGCATCTAAGCGTGTATCCCGCATGGCACATAACTGACTGATGTCCATAAGATTTTGTTTCCGAAGTATAAATAGAGTTAGCCATTATTTGGCAAAATGGCTTCAGAAGCAATTTCTAAAAATTATAGAACGAAATTCTTCTTCTTCTTCTTCCTCTTCTTCTTCTTCTTCTTCTTCCTTCTTCTTCTTCTTCTTCTTCTTCTTCTTATTATTATTATTATTATTATTATTATTATTTCTTTTGATATCTGTTTTATACATATCTCCTTCCCGGTCGCAACCAGAGACACAAGTTCTTCAAAAACAGACCCTAAGATCACACACATTTTACATAGTTAAAGCTCTTCGTCATATGTGAGTTGAACATATAAGTATAATTTCTTGTATTTCCTTAAGTCATAGGCTACCAGCAATCATTTCAGTGAGTTTATCGGAACTTTTTCCAAGCAATCCGAGGGTTCCAACTCCATCTGGAATTACTGATGTCCACATGTACCACACTTTTTAGATTTCCATTTCAAAATCATCTTCATTATTATTATTATTATTATTTTCTTTTTACCTGGGAAACTGTTAGTTCTTCTTCCTCGTTTTCTTCTTCTTCTTCTTCTTCTTCTTCTTCTTCTTATTATTATTATTATTATTATTATTATTATTACTTTATTCTTCCTTTTTTCCATTTTCTTTTCGTTTTCATCCTTTTTTTCTTCATATTCTTCTTCCATCACTTCTTTTCTTCTTTTTATTCTTGCTCTTCTTACATTTTTCTTCTTCGTACTCTTCGTATCATTATTATTATTATTCATTTTCTTCCTTTACGCGTGTACCACTTCAGGGGTGAGTGATCATAGCCCTCTAAAACTCCCTTTTCGTTTCTAGTCCTGAGCAAATTGTGATTCTTTAGCATCTCAATTTTCCTTACAAACTCGCCAAGTAGGTTCAGTCGCCATTTCTTTCAGCCCCCTCCTATTTTCAAACTGCCCTGGGAATATTAAACTCTCCATGCCGTTCTTCCTCATTTTATGTGTCAGAAATTACAACGCTCAAATGAGATATCCACAATATTCTAGGGAACTTTTGAGCAGCGTGTCTACCATGGTTTGCTTATGACAGTCACTGAAAACAAATAATTCAGTGGTTCATGATTTTCAACGCCAAAACTACAGTGTATTTTCTGAAAAAGCATTTTTTAACAAAATTGCAATAATTGCCGATGTTAATTAATAAAAATTACTTTTAAAATATTAAAGTGAATTTCATTAGTCCCTCCATTAACCTGCGGAAGACGTTCATTAATATACAGTAAAAGTGGTGTGTTCGTAATAAAAACATTTCATAGAATACTCTTAAATATTTATCAGAGAGTGGGTCCGTAATATGCCCTTCATAACATCTACGCATATCTCTAAACTTAATAATTTCCATATGATGTTTTAGAGGAAGAAGCACACATTTTAAATAAACAAAATTGCATTATAAATATTAATGTTATATGCATACGAGCGATTAAATTGTGATGGGAATTTTGTAGTCATATTATTCCATATATGTATAATTAATAAGTGCTATATCTAGAATATTCCACACACACACACACACACACACACACACATATATATATATATATATATATATATATATATATAATTTGAGTTTTCCTGCTTAATAGATGCTCGCAGAGGAGAACACGGCTTACACCTATCAAGAACAGTAAATAATATTTCATGCTCGATATTTCCCGAATACTGTTCTATAAACAATAATGTAATGGTTTAATATTTTTAGACAGCTAAAGAAATTTTCGAAAGAAAAGAGATATAGAAAGTAAAAATAAATACATGTGAAAAATATTAACACTTTTTCAATTTTGATGAGAGTAATACTTTTTCGTTCAAGATGGAAGTGAATCTTGATTTTTTGAAATTAAATTGTTTTAGACATTTATTAATATACAAAATAAAAACATTTCCATTAAGAATTCTGTTATTTTTCTTAACTACTTATATATATATATATATATATATATATATGTGTGTGTGTGTGTGTGTGTGTGTGTGTGTGTGTGTGTGTGTGTGTGTTTTGGCAAACCTACACGCACAGACATACACACGCACCCACATCGGTTTTACTGATTTTAAAATATTTAATCAAACATGCTTGAATCAATGTATGTTGAGTATAAGTATATATATATATATATATATATATATATATATATATATATATATATATGTGTGTGTGTGTGTGTGTGTGTAAGCAAATATTATATGGATATAGATCCGACAGTATGAAGAAAAAATATACTGAAAAAAAAAAAGAAAAATCCTGATATGCAATTATGCTGTTTTAATGTTTAATGTCAACGTCGGACGTATATGGTCTATGTTAATTATGTTTTATAAATAAGTCCTGAAGATGGTCTATTAGACCGAAACGACCGACGTTGACATTAAACATTAAAACAGCATATTCGTATATTAGGATTTTGTTTGTTTTTCAGTATATTTTATATTATATATATATATATATATATATATATATATATATATATATATATATATATATACGCAATCAACGGGCGACTAACGATTGCGTCTAGCATGAAACAGACTGTCGGCTCTAAGTGTTGACCTCTATGTTCACTTTTATATTTATACTCGTTCTATCACTTATATTGAGCACTTTATCCCATAAATATAGCCCATCTTAAGACTATATTTCTTCATATATATATATATATATATATATATATATATATAAAATTTTTGTGGTGGAGGTTTTTTGTAGGAGTGGGTGTAATATGCCCTATATGTTTTCATATATCGCGTCTTCACGCGTCGAATTCAGAAGCATTTTACGTTTTTTAGATAGCAAGTAGGTTGACTTGATTTTATCCTAAATTTAATAACATTTCGTCCATGCCATTATACAAAATACCTCAGAGACACAAGAATGGAAAAGTTGTTAAATTGCTTGGAGAAAATAAACATCGAGAAATTAATCAAGACTACGGGAGATGAATAATATAAGATAAAAAAAACGCTTGGATAATGTATTAGAAAGGAAAAATACCTATCTATAGAAATATATTTGTGGAGCTAGCTCGCTAGATATGCAGATAGATATGTTTTATTATCAAATGTCTTTTTAAATTAATGATGTCGTAGTATTTTTTGTTTTAAATTTTGTCTAGGCCACTGGCCGGTAAAAATAATTGCATTTAGGGCTATCCACTAAAGATAAAATTTGAAGTAATTATATATGTATATATATATATATATATATATATATCTTTTTTAATATATATATATATATATATATATATATATATATATATATATATATATATATATATATATATATATATTGCTAGTTAAATTCCCAGATGAATTCTGTGGACAAGACAGATTGGTATCAAATGACAATTGGAAAAAATCATACATTTGCCGACGCGTTTCGTCTTCCGACTTTTTCAAAATGAACTATAACAGCAAAAACATTTCGATTTCATTTTTGCCTTGAAAAAGTCGGAAGACGAAACGCGTCGGCAAAACGTATGATTTTTTTCCAATTGTCATTTGATACCATATATATATATATATATATATATATATATATATATATATATATTATATTAGAACATGTACATGCACACTACAAAACTGTACATCTTCTTTCAACGGTAAAAATTAACCGTTCTTCAAGTGGGAAATGACGATGCTACTAAATTACACTTAACTGTATTTCGGGATAAAATTATTTAGTAGTAAAAATGTTTAAAGTAAAACATAATATTTTAGTACCTACAGGAACTTAACAAAAATAAACCCTTAAATATAAAAAAATATCATATAACAGCCTCATATTTTATTTTCGTCAATAAAATCACCAACTACCTTAATTCTTGCTTTAAAATTATTGAAAATCTTCCCAACAATTTTTCGACAAAAAGTACCATTCTTCAGATACTAAAAAAATAGCTGTTTTTCTCAGGCACGGTAGAGTAATGGATAGCAGTTCGGACTGTGGAATCGGAGAGCCGAGTTCGAATTCCAGTCAAATCCATTGCATTCACTTACATGCTAATACCCTTGGGTCGGTTTGAATCCTGTTCTTCTACCCCACCCCAGCTAAATATGGGTAAATAGCAGCACAGACCGGGTACTGTAACTGAGAGAAATGCCAACCTTCTGCGCGAAAAAAATCTGCCCCGTCAGTCATGTATCGAAAGATACATGATCGCCTACGTGTGTATCACGCATCGCACATAACTGACTGACTCAGTCTCAGTCTTTGATATTCATTTCCATGCCTCCTATCCAATCCATCCCATACTGATTTAATGGGGGAGGGATCAGTTGAATCAAGCGGCCAAATCATAATTTCGAAGATGTTGTAACATATTTTGGAAGAGTGTTTGGTATCGTGTGTCATGTTGAATAATGAATCTTTTTTTTTTCACTTATGCGTAAACCAGATGGTAAAGCATGTAAAATCGAATGACATTTTTTTTTTTTTTTTTTTTTTTGTTTTCATGATTCCTTTGATCTGAATTATATATACATCCCTCTCTCCACCTGAAAAAGCAAACCATCCTTCTTAACTTTGGGACCACACATTCATCACCCAGCCTTTCTCCTTACTTTCTTCTCGCATACACCCTCCTCTTACTAGCAGTGCAAATTTGATCTCGTCTGTCCACGATATTCGTTTCCACACTTTCAATGTCCTTTTTCATGCATTTTACCCATAACAGTCTTTTTGTTGTTTATTCACCTCAGCAACAGGTAATTTTTGATGGCTATGAAGCACATTAGTTTCACTGATCTCAGTTACGTTTTCACAGTTGAGAGTGGCGTAGATTGTTGTCGAGGGGAATGAAGATTAGTTGTCAAATTTGGAGGACTTTTCCTTCTATTTCTTTTGTTCTCAGTAAACAATGGTTTATCTTCTGAAACATTTGCCAATTTTTGTTCTACACCTCATTTTCTGTTAAGCTTTGCGCCAATTTCTAATTTTCTTTCTAACGAATGCTGTACGCCATGTCTAGAAAATTTTCAATTTCTTGACGTTTTGTCTTTGAGAGTAGCCTTCTTGGGATAAAATTTAAACTTGTGCCCTCAAATCAATGTTTAGCTGCTTTGATTTTGCCATTTTGTGCGAATTACGTCCATATTAAAAATAATTTAAAAAATAACGTTTAAAATACTGTCGTGATTTCACAGGCTTACGACTAAATTAGTGCTGTATGGACCCATCCCTGATATTTCTACAGTCTTACGCGAACGAAGAATGCGCATCGAAAGACATTGCTGGGGAGCAAAACAAGAACTCGCGAATGATCTACGGTTCTGAATACTTAGCCATAGAATGAGACGGATTGGTCGCTCAGCAACCACCTACATTGGCCAGTTATGTCATGAGAGAGAATGACTTCCTAATGACATTTCAAACTTGATGCAGGAGCGTGATGGTTGGCGTGATAGTCACTTTCATGTCCAAGCTAATTCGATCGAATAATGAAAGATAAATAACTGGCGTAATTGCCCAATTTTTTTTTCTTCAAACAGAGAGCCGCCCTGGGTATGACGATAAACTACATGCGCGTCCTGGGTAAGAGGATAAACTACATCCAGCAACAAGGCCTATGATCAGGAGGTTTTGAGGAACGTGAAACCACCTCTTAATTGCTTTTGTTCCCAGGTCCATCCTGACCCGGGGTGGTAGCTCCTGTCAGGGTCCCAGCTATGGGCAAATACTTAACACTCAAACATGTGTAAAAA